GACATTGTTTCACGACATGACTTTTTAACTTGCATTGCTGTCTTAAAATATTATGCTCTTGATGTGAAATGCTGAAAATATATCAAGACGTGTGGGAACGGCTAAAGACATTTGTCTAGGAAATATTTATATAGGCTAATGACCAAAAAAATGGCCCGACAGAAAGCAAGACCACATCCTGTGTGAAATCACCCTGAGCAGTGAGATCATATGCTATATTTTGAATATGATAAAGAGTACAGGCACACCATCGTCATCAGAAACGACAGATGAACTTATGAATACCTAACATCTATAGGCGCGGCGGTGGGCGCCCGTTTGTGTGAGACGGAGATGAGAAAGAGGGGGTTGGGTGGACTGATGGCTTCCTCCTTAGGGAAGTGGTGCCTGAGAATGCACTCTCAGGGAGTGCCAGTCAGTCAAGCCTGATTAAACTCTGGGATGATGGGGGGAACCAGAAGAGAGAGACACATACACTATATATGATACTGTTTAAAGCCGATCTGAACATCACCCCCTGCATACCTCACAGCAGCATCTGCCACATCGCCTCAAAACAAACCATAACTAACAATCAGTAATTACTGTGCGAAGAAACGCCAAACGATCAGCCAAACATAGCGAGAACTGTGTCGCTTTTATATGTGACATCTGCAAATCAGAACACGTCACAACAAAGAACTCTTCTGCGGTACGATTGAAACTTTCTCATGAAATCGTGCAATTAAAAGGCCCAAGGTCATACTTCACTCTTTCCCTACCTTTGATGTCATTTTTCCCATTTATTACGCAATGCTTCTCCACCATTGACAAGTTAAGCAATCTGCGGTTTCACTGTTATACCGTATATAACAGTATAAATAGTACAGTATAATAAGGTAGGGGGTAGGGGTGGGCGATATGACCAAAATCTTATATCACGATATGACTAATTTTTTTCTTTTACAAAGGTTTTTATGATATTAAAATCTTTGATACCATAGATTTTTCATAATCCTTGTCACCAATGTTAATATCAAACTAATACAAGCCTAAAAAGACACACAAAAAAAAACTCAAGCTCACTGAAGATAAATAAACAGTCAGTGATGAAATAAGGATAAGAAACTAATTGCAAGCAATAGGACAAAAAACTACAACAATAAAGGTAGGGGGTAGGGGTGGGCGATATGACCAAAATCTTATATCACGATAATAGTAATTTTTTTCTTTTACAAAGGTTTTTATGATATTAAAATCTTTGATACCATAGATTTTTCATAATCCTTGTCACCAATGTTAATATCAAACTAATACAAGCCTAAAAAGACACACAAAAAAAAACTCAAGCTCACTGAAGATAAATAAACAGTCAGTGATGAAATAAGGATAAGAAACTAATTGCAAACAATAGGACAAAAAACTACAACAAATAAGAACCTCTACATACATTGTGTAAATTAATTAGTCTTTCACTGTGTTAATTATATCTATCTATCTATCTATCTATGATCGAGAGACAGAGACAGATCGATCGATCGATAGATAGATATAATTAACACGTGTCTTATGTATAGATTCTATACATATACATAAATATATAATTATTATTATTTTTTAAATTTCTTCTTATTAAAGTTTCAAAAGTGATTTAGTCAAGAGCCAGTGTTTCCCCTGCCATTATATTAGGGGGGCGGCCCACCCCCCCAACGGC